ATGAGCTAGTTTTTAATACTTCGGAAATGTATGAATATATAGCTTAACAATAATTTTAAGGGCAAATACTTTTCTTGGTTTTAGATTTAAGATAAACAAAAAAAGTCATAACTTACTTCATAATTAAATGATGTTGAAAATTTAATGTACATCTTCGATCTTTGAATTATATATCAAATATGTTAATCAAATCTGGAACAAGAAAATTAAGAATGAAAGTTAGACGTGGTTGCATTAGGGCTTTTTAAGTTGGGAATCCAGCGTTGAACATGCGTTAAGAATCTTTTGCATATTTTTTTCTATTCCGTGTTACCTTTTTTTATGCTTCCACTCTCTATTTATTTTAAGCCATTGAATAGTTGCCAAAGTTGGTGAGGTACTGAATTAAACAAGATCTTGATTGTTCTTTTGGTTTCGATAAAAGGGTAAACTTGGTCAGAATTATTCTTGCACAATAGTTTCTCCATATTTTACCCTTTTAATTTATTAATTACCCATTGATTTCGCAATTCTCTTCCTTTTTAATTCGAAGTTAGCTCTTGAGAAAAAATAATGCTTGTAAAGCTACCTGATCGTCTACTTGACCGTATATTTGGATGCAAAACGTCCGAAAATAGGGGAAAAATTTCATGGTATAATTAGATTCCTTCATATTCTTGGTTTCGAATATTGGTCACTCCTTATAATTTCAGTTCTAGAGCTGCGAGGATTTCTAATTTCTCATATTGGTCGAGGGAGTGAGTTGTCATTTCTTTATATATATAGTCTTGACAATCTTTGTTAAAAATAGAAGACAAATGACAAAGAAATTAAGGCTTTGAGGCGTGAAAAGTCACTATCTTTCAAGAATTATTGCATGTATATTCTTTAGAAATTACAAACAATTCTCTATCATGATACAACAATGCCTGAAAACAATTCCCTCTTGGTTTTTCTTTGTGCCATGGTTCTTTTTCAAGGGTTTATACTTGAAACGGGTGTAGTTAGTTTTTTTTTCCTTTTCTTAGGAGTAGAAAATCTTGTGTCGTTGTGCTAGTTAGAATCAATCTTGCTTAACTTTGTTGTGCCTTGAGAGTAGTGAGTGCCTTAGTGTGACGCCTAGGCTCAGTTCTTGACTCTTGTATAGTGCCTTAATTTGTTGATCTCGTTTTGTTGGGAATATTGATATTGCTCCTAGTCCAGATTAGTTAGCTTAGTTATACTAATTCTTCACTTTGTATTGGGCTAGGCCCACATAAGTTGTAATTATTTTACTTCTCTTTCTTTTCTTTTGTGCATACTGGGCCGGGTCCCATATAGATAGACCAAAGTGGTCTGATACATATACACTTGTACATATGATATTCATTTTCAGATAGAAAGAAAAGGGGTTCCATCTTATCTCTCAGTTGTAATAAACCCTAACTCAATTTCACATCGATTCCACTCTATTTCTGCTACTAACATGGTATCAGAGCCCGGAATTTCGTAGATCCGGTCGTCCTCTATCGTCCGATGTTACCCTAGAAGAGTATCACCAAAATTTCAGCTTTATCGGAGAATTTTTCTCATTTCGTCATTTTTCGTTTTTTTGTTCGAGATTTGTTGTTCAATTTGGTTTATGTGCCTCCGACTGGTATCTGAGGTCCTGAATTTCGGTTATAGCGACGTGTTTCAGCATTCAACAGTGGCTAATGTCGAGGTCGTTTGTTCTGGGAATTTTCGGAACATAGCCGGGTAAAGTTCTTCTCATTTCAAGGTCGTATTCTTCCGGTTGCGAAGAATTGTGGTATATTCTTTCCTTTTGCTTAATATTTTTCATCTCAGTCTGCATGCCTTAGGGTTTATCGAAATTGTTTAGCAATTGATATCGTGTATGGTCAAATCTGCTCATTGTTAAGAGATTTTGTCTAATGGCTATCTCGTCGGGTACTTCTTCTTCTACTTCTGTGGATAATTCTGAATATGCACCTACCAGTCGCCTTCCGTTTCATCCCGATAGTTATACGCACCCATGCCATCCTCTATATGTCCATCCCTCTGACTTGTTAGGGTCTTCTTTGGTCACTGAGCCTTTTAATGGCTCTTGTTATGGAAGTTGGCGAAGATCCATTTTAGTGGCTTTATCCGTTAGGAACAAGCTGGAATTTATTCATGGGACCTCTGAGAGACCTCCAGAAGGGTCTCCTCTTCTTCGCCAATGGCAGAGATGCAATGATTTAGTTGTTGCGTGGCTAGCCAACTCTGTGACCAAGGAAATTCATAATACTGTTGTATATTCTGAGTTTGCAAAGGATATTTGGAAGAAACTTGAGACCAGATATGGCCAAGCTGATGAAGCCAGGGTCTTTGAGTTAAAAAAGGAGGTGGCTCATATTACTCAGGGTGCCCTTGATATTCCTTCCTATTTCAACAAGCTCAAACAACTTTGGGATGAGTTAGCCTCTCTTTCTGCCAGTTCTGATGATAAATGCACCTGTGGAGGCAGTCTTAGGTCTGAGGAAAAACAAAAAGTCTATCAGTTTCTCATGGGGCTCAATGATACTTATGTTCAAGTTAGAAGTAACATCTTAATGATGAAGCCCCTGCCTTCCATTGACACAGTCTATAGTATTCTTCTAAGTGATGAGAAACAGAGGCAGATGTCTACTGGTTCTCACTTCTCTTCAGAATCAGCCTCTTTCAATGCTGGGTCTTCTAAACAGCCTTACTCTCCTAGGGTGAATTTTGAGACTCAAGGGACTGTAATCACTTGCAAATACTGTAAGAAACCTAGGCATAGCATTGATAAGTGCTACAAACTCCATGACTATCCGGAGAATTTCAAATTCTCTAAAACTGCTGGTCCCAGGAAAGCTGTAGCACACAGTGCAGCTGATTCTTCTGCATCTCAGGCATGTGTGTCTCATTCCAATGGTGCTGCTGTCCCAGCTGGTTTCTCTGACTCTAATTCTGCTTTTCCTGGCTTGACAAAGGACCAATGTTCTCAGCTGATCCAGCTCTTGCAACAAACTCATGTGACTCCTGATTCTTCTCAATCACTCATGGCTTCTGCATATTTTGCTGGTAGGATAGCTACCTATAGTGTTCTTCTTAAGCCTGCTTTGTTTTCACAAGTCACTATTTCTGATTGGATCATTGATTCTAGGGCATCTGACCATATGACATCTCTTAAACCTCTCCTTTTCAATATTCAACCTCTTACTATTCCTTGCCTTGTTTCTCTCCCAAATGGTTACAAAGTTAAAGTTACTAATTCTGGCTCCCTAACTTTGTTTCCAAATTTCACTCTTCACAATGTCCTTTATGTTCCCAGATTTCATTGCAATCTAATTTCTGTTCATAAGTTGGTTGATCAGTTTGATGGCATTGCACAATTTACTAAGGTTTTATGTGTATTACAGGGCCCTTCTCTGAAGAAGCCTCTGGCACTTGGTAAACTGGATAATGGGCTCTACAAGCTGCAAGTACCCATGTTTAGGCCTAATAACTGTGTTTCCAATTCTGTTCTTTCTTCTGCATGTACTGTTTCTGGTAGTTCTACTGTTTCCTCTTGTAATTCTACACCTACTGTTTCTAATAAAATGGATATTGTTTGGCATTTCAGACTTGGTCACATACCATTTTCTAGAATGAAGGGAATTCCTGTTCTTAATCCTTGTCTATCCCTTAAACAATCATTTCCTTGTCCTATTTGTCCTTTGGCTAGGCAAACTAGACTTCCTTTCCCTGATAGCACCATTCAATCTACTGCTCCTTTTCAATTGATTCACATTGATACTTGGGGTCCCTATCACTCTCCTACTTCCTATGGTGCCAAATATTTCCTTACTATTGTGGATGATTATTCTAGAGCTACTTGGACTCATTTGATGGGTGCTAAGAGCAATGCTTTTGATCTTCTCAAAGCCTTCATTGCTATGGTTGAAACTCAATTTCACACTCAGGTTCAGAAAGTTAGAAGTGACAATGCTTTTGAACTAGGATCTAGTGCTATTGGCTCTAAGTTTTTTTCTGCCAAGGGCATCATCCATCAAACCACTTGCCCTCATACTCCACAACAAAATGGTGTTATGGAGAGAAAGCATAGACATTTACTTGAAATTGCTAGGGCTTTGCTTTTCCAATCCAAACTTCCTATCTCTTTCTGGGGTGATTGTGTCCTAACTGCCACCTATCTTATTAACAAGTTCCCTTCTCCCCTATTACAACACATAACTCCTTTTGAACTGCTTTATGGTTCACTTCCTTCTTATGGTCATCTTAGAGCTTTTGGTTGTTTGTGCTATGCTACTGTTCCTAAAGTTCTTAGAGACAAGTTTGATCCCAGGTCTGTTCCCTGTATATTTATGGGGTATCCCTTTGCTAAAAAGGGCTACAAATTGTATAATCTTGCTTCCAAGTCTTGTTTTGTTTCAAGAGATGTTCAGTTTCATGAACATATTTTCCCTTTTTCTTCTGGTTCTCCATCTCTTCCTTCTGTATTCACTTCTTCTCCCTCCTTTTATTCTGATTTCCCTCCTGTTCCTTGTCCTGGTCCCACTCCTTCTCCCTCATCTTCTTCTTCTTCCTCTGTTCCTTCTGCCTCCTCTCCTTTGTCTTCTTCTGACTCCCAGGTCTCCTCTTCTCCTGCTGTTGCTCCTGTCAGGAAGTCCTCCAGGACTCATAATCCTCCCTCTTATCTGAAAGATTATGTTTGTTCTCTTCCCTCCTCTTGTCCTTCTTCCTTCCTCTCAGCTTCCTCTCAACCTTTGGCTGAACCTGCCACTTATTCTCAGGCTGCTGGTATACCTGAATGGCAGGAAGCCATGACCAAAGAGTTTGAAGCTTTGGACGCTAATGGCACTTGGTCCATTGTTGAGCTTCCTCCTGGCAAGAAACCCATTGGCTGCAAGTGGGTGTATAAGGTCAAACAAAAGGCTGATAGGAGCATTGAAAGGTATAAGGCTAGACTGGTTGTTAGGGGGGATACTTAGGTTGAGGGTATTGATTTTCATGAGACTTTTTCACCTGTTGTGAAAATGTCCACCATCAAAACACTGATTGTTGTGGCTGTTAAGAAACAGTGGCCCATGTTTCAGTTGGATGTTAACAATGCTTTCTTGCATGGTGATCTTGATGATGAAGTCTTTATGAAGCTCCCTCCTGGTTACACTGTTCCTTCTATATCTTCTTCTGGGCAACTGGTTTGCAAGTTGCAGAAATCTCTTTATGGCCTTAGGCAAGCCTCAAGACAGTGGTATGCCAAGCTCTCCCAGGCTCTATCTTCTAGAGGTTATCAGCATTCTCTCAATGATTACTCCCTCTTCACCAAAGTTTCTGGGGATTCTATTGTGGTCTTAGCTGTTTATGTGGATGATATTATTTTAACTGGGACTGATAGTGCTGAGATTCTTGCCCTTAAATCTTTTCTTCATCAGCAGTTCAGAATCAAGGACTTGGGTTCACTCCACTATTTTTTGGGTCTAGAGGTCTTCTATTCTGCATCTGGGGTTGTTTTGCATCAGAAAAAGTTTCTTCATGACCTCCTTATTGAGTTCCATTGCTCTGATGCCACTCCTGTGGTTTGTCCTCTCCCACAGTCCCTCAAGCTCAAGGCCAAGGAAGGGGTTCCTCTTCCTAAGCCTGAAGTATACAGGTCCTTAGTTGGGAAGCTAAACTTCCTCACCCACACCAGGCCAGATATTTGTTTTGCTGTGCAGCATCTTTCTCAGTTTATGCAATCTCCTTGTGTGCCTCATTTGGAAGCTAGTTTGCATTTGTTGAAGTACTTGAAGGGTACAGCTGAGTTTGGCATTTTTCTCAACAATGCTCCTGATTTTTCTGTTGCTGCTTTCTGTGATAGTGACTGGGCTGCTTGCCCAGACACTAGGAGATCTGTCTCAGGCTTTTGTGTGCTTTTGGGTGGTAGTATTGTGGGTTGGAAGTCTAAAAAGCAGCCTGTGGTCTCAATGTCCTCTGCTGAAGCTGAATATAGAGCCATGAGCAAGGCTGTCAGTGAAGTTACTTGGATGCACAGGTTGCTCCTGGACTTGGGTGTTTCATGTTCTTCTGCTATTCCCCTATCTTGTGATAGCCAAGTTGCTATACACATTGCCAAGAACCCTATTTTTCATGAGAGGACTAAGCATATTGAGTTGGACTGTCACTTGGTCAGAACTAAACTTGCTGAAGGTCTCATCCAACTACTTCACACATCTTCCTCTACTAGCTAGCTGACATCTTCACCAAGTCTTTGGGTGGTGTTGCTCATCATGGTTTCCTCTCCAAGTTGGGGGTTTTGACACCCTCCAACTTGAAGGGGGGTGTTGGGAATATTGATATTGCTCCTAGTCCAGATTAGTTAGCTTAGTTATACTAATTCTTCACTTTGTATTGAGCTAGGCCCACATAAGTTGTAATTATTTTACTTCTCTTTCTTTTCTTTTGTGCATACTGGGCCGGGTCCCATATAGATAGACCAAAGTGGTCTGATACATACACACTTGTACAGATGATATTCATTTTCAGATATAAAGAAAAGGGGTTCCATCTTATCTCTCAGTTGTAATAAACCCTAACTCAATTTCACATCGATTCCACTCTATTTCCGCTACTAACAGATTTTGCTTAACTGCTTTGACTAGAGAGTCGGGATAGATCCGGTCCGAAGTGAGTTATGTGCCAATGTGTATGTGTGAATTTTGTTGATGTTCTGTGCATGTCAGTTGATGTCTAGAACTTGCCCCACGTGTGTGCAAAGCGAAATAGAAGTCTTGTTCAGTCTAGGATGTGATATAGGCATTTTTTTGTTGAGCGAGATATATTCTTTCTACCTACCAACTTAATGTGTATCTTAGTTAGCCCCGTTGAGCTTGTAATCCTATTTCTTTGGCAACCACAATACAAGTTTGATCCCTTTGTTTAAATTTATTATCTATTTGAACCTTTTACTTCTCTTGAGCACTTGAATCAGCAATCACCGTACCCAGAAGTACCTGGATCTGCACACAAAGTGCAGGGTGTAGCGTGAGTACAACCAACTCAATAAGTAACAAGTCTAACCTTTGGGCTGAAAACAATGACAAGCCTCACAGGTACAGTCCAATTACATAAATACGGTACCAAAATGTAGACATGCTTTCTAGTTCGACAGTCAAAGCTCAAACATGTAAGATATACCAAGTGTAACTGAAACGAGGAATGATACATCTCGATATTTACATGTCCATTACGTATGCTAACTGTCACACCTCTTTTTACACATCTACCCCGAAGGATAATGTATAAGGGAGTTTTTCCATTTAAAGTGACATTATTCGAAATGGGATTATTTATTTGTTTTTTAGAGTCGCCACTTGGGATAGGATTGGCTTTTGGTGTCCCAAGTCACCGGTTTAACTTGAATCCCAAATCGAGGAAATTTTCGACTTCCCAATTGGAGTCTGCGAACCAGAAATTCTGAATAAGGAATTCTGTTGACCCAAGGGAAGGTGTTAGGCACCCCCGGATCCCGTGGTTCTAGCACGGTCGCTTAAATTATTATAAATGGCAGAAATCTGATTTTTATACATGTTCAAACCTATAGTGAAATTTTAGGATTGTTTAAACGCTTTTAGTTTAAAATTTTTTTAAGAAAGTGAACGTCGTTTAAAAAACGTGTTTTTGGATCACGTCACATGAAATGCACCTGGATCCTCGACACATTCTTATTCAATGTTTTGGGATTTGGATTTGGGTTGCATGAAATGCACACCCGTATTTAAGAAGGTAAAATTATTAAAAACGTGCCTAAAGCGACTAACGGGTTATTAACTTTGCGGGAGGCCGCGAAATTCACTAAACGACACGCCCTGATTCTAAGTATTTTGATATAAGCATTTAATGAGGGCCCCGCAATTTGTGTGTTTTCTTTGGCGAGGCTCATCTCATTTTATTATTTAACGGCCAAACTAAAGTGACCTATGATTTTCTATTTATTTTGTCTCTAAAAGGACCTAATTAATTAATATTACCATTTGGGCCTCAAATTCAAGTCCGAACTTAAACAAGAGGAGAACCTCTTAATTTAAATCCGCTACCTAATTTAGAAGGCTCAAAATTGATTTGCTTTTGTTTTAAAGGAAATTATCAAAATGAACAAAGACCTTCAACAATTAATTCCCATGCTTGGGCCCAGGTCCGAACGCACACATAATTAGGACAGGACCTGGGCCGTCTGTTAAAGTCCTGAGGCCCAAGCTGTCTGAAATGGGCTGTTAAAATCAAACCCAGCCCCGATTCCAATTGAATAAATATTCACTGAGACTGCTCCAAGTTGTTCAAAATGTGTTCAGCAATTTATAATCAAGGAAAAGCAATATTCACCTATTCGAATTAGTGAAACATTGATTACTAGAATCCTAAATTAAAACTCAGATTATTTTACTTATTTAGCTACTGATGATTTCATGGATACTACTATAAGTGTAAAGCAGACTGGAAACACAAATGTGACAACACAAAGCAAACCTAATTATTTTTGAATTAGCTCTGCTAGCATTGCCAAATAAGCTGGACTATTGCACTTTATTGTTAAAACCCGAAATCCTGTTGGACCGCCTGCCTCAAACGCTACTTCCTTTTAATTAGAAACTCGAACTGATAGAAGCATCATACAATCGTGCACTTTAGATTATCATGGTAATCAAACTCAAACTGTGAAAATGCTACTAATTGTGTGTTCTACTACTCACACAAATCCGAAATGATTCACAAATCATCTGTCAACTTATTATGAAACTAACTACCCTTAACATTCAACTCATATACATGAACCTGGTACATAACAGTTTATACAGTCTATTTAATACATATCAAGCAAAAACTTAAGCAGCATTAATGAACTTAAGTGTTGAGTATACAGATCTGGACATAAACTAAATCAGAACTCAATTCGTTCTTCACATACATTTATTTCTGCATATTTTCAGCTCATAGTCATCAGGCATACTATTGTGTACGTGGATTTGTGAAATATAAGAAAAAGAAGAGGAAATCAGCAGCGGGTAACAACAGCTAATATCCAGCACTCACAAACAGCAATAACCAGTCAACAGGAGTAATTTCGAACCAAAAACAGCTTCACCCAAAACCAGTAACACACCACAGAAATGCATCACTCGACTGATGGCCAAAATGACTCGATTGAACCCCAAAACTACTCGAAATCAAACAGAAACACCTATGACACTTCAAATTACCAGAAACTGAACTAAGAAATGCAAATCAGCTACGAACACTAGAAATTAGCTAAGAACTTGAATGAAACAATGTATTTTTTTTGGATTTTTCTACTGGATTTTGTTTGTTTTTGGTTTTGTTTTTTAGGAACTAAGATCTAGAGGAAGATTTTGAACTTCTATTGATTTGAAATTCAAATTTTAGGTTCAGATCTGCAGAGAGGGTTTTGGGGGGAATTTTTGGGGGTTCCAAAACTTCTAGAAATTTTGAGGGATTTTTCAGATGTCCAAACTTGTAATCCAAGGCACTAAACATGCCTTTTATAGGCATAAAAAAGGGGCAGAAGGTTCTGGAAATTTTACTAATTTTCCCCCCTTTTTATTTTCAGAAATTGTACTTTAATCCCTAATTTTATGGCTTGTTGCCCAAGTTACTGCATTAAAAATGCAGAAACTTACCCTAAGGCCCCCTTCTAGAAGGCCCTAGGGTGTTCTAGCCTTGTTTTCTACCTACGGAATACCTATACTACCCTTGTTTTTGTTTTGAAATTACTGGTCTTTAACAAACCAGCCCATTTTCAATGCCTAAACTACCCTTGATTGCCCCTGAAATTACTAACCAACCCAAAACCCCTTTTGTCCTAGTTAAAATCTAACTATAGTTAATTAAAGAGTAATTTATTCAGCTATATCCAATCATCTAGGCCTAATTACCTTAAAAATACTGAATTAAAGAACAATTATTGATGAAATTGAAACAGATTAACTAGACTAATTAAACTAACAGAGCTATTGATTCAATCAAGCAAAAATCAAACAGTACCTAAAACAGATTTGAAACACAATTAAACTAAAACCTAAAAAGGAAACAAAAATGAAATCACAAAGCTAATGCACATGTGTTTAAATCAAATAACATACTACTTATCAGAATTACTAAACAAAAACTAAAAGAAAAATCTAACTACACTACGATTCGAACCAATCAGAATTAAACTAATATCTAACAATCAAAACGAAAAATCAAAATTAAGCTAACATGAACCAATTACTGAATTAGAGAAAGCAAAAGCAAACCATTGCATAAAAAAAGAAAGGAGTTGAGAAACTTACTGATTTTAGTTTTCGATTGGATTGACTCCAAATTGGATTTTCGATTAATGTTATATGTTTATTTTATCCAAAATAGACATATAACATGAATCAAAAACCAACAGAATGTTTGAAATTCCTAAACGGTTTGAAAGCTTCGAACCCTAGATTTAAAACTCGAACAGATGCGGTTAGATTCGAACAAAACCAACTTGGGATTTAGAAAGAAGGAGGTGAGGGGAGTCTATGGTGTGATTTTGGTAGGGTTTGGACGAGTTCAGGTTTTGGCCGGAATCTTTGATTCAAGATTCGAAGGGCTTGGGTGTGTTTTGAAGGAAATTAAGCATAGATTAGTAATGGGGAAAAGGAAAAGCTATGGTGTTAGTTTGGTAACATTTGGAGGTGGCGCCGCCGTGGACGGCGGAGGCGGCACCCACAAATTCGGATATTCGACCAGTTTGGCTAAGTTTTGGAGGAAACTAGGTTTAGATCCGGGATGGGGAGGATGAGGAGGTGTTATGGTGTTAATTTGGGCTCCATTGGAGGTTCGCCGCCGACGGAGGCGATTTCCGGCCGGCGGCGAACGGCGGAGGGGTGGTGGTGATATGTTTTCTAGGGTTAAAGGGAGAGAGACGATAGGTAGGGGGGTCTGGGGGGGTGGTAGTGTTAAGACATTTATATATTAAAACATGCGGGCTTCTCAACCGTCCGATCGAGAAACATAGACGGCCAAGATTGAATCTTGGCTAAACGACGTCGTTTCGTCGTCTGCTTGGCCGGACTGGGTAATACAATGTGGCCTGGGTTGATTTCAAGTGGACTTGAGGGGCTTGGGCTTGATGTTTTGGCCCAAAATGACTGGCCTGATATCTTTCTTTTATTTTCTTCTAAATTACTCTTTTTTTTTATTTAAACTCCAATCA